ATTCATAAGAGCTGTAACGAAATTGAATGAAATATAATTTTTCTTATTAAAAAACATATGGATAGGTTTTCGTATGTTTTTGTTTGACATTTACGTATTATTTAACAAATGAGTTTTGTATAGTACTTAATAATATGGATTCTCTTAACTAAAAAACATGAAATTGTAAACGCAAACGTTTACAAACAATTACGTAAAACCAAATTCCACACAATCTCGCTTTTTTATTAATAATTTTAGTTTAAAAAGAAAGAAAATTTTTTTGTTGATTCCACGATACCCCCAACTGTTTACTGATTTTGGAGAGGTGAATATGAATCCATCGACCAATATTCAATTCATATTACATAGAAGAGACCAACTGATTGTAATAGTTTAGAAAACCAATCAAACCCAAAAGTTTGTTGTAATTGACAGCTAATTGTTTTTAAATCATTCAGAAAAACAAAAGTAATCCAATTTGTTGTTTATTAGTTAAAGTGATTAAGTTGTCTTTAAGACTTAAACCGTTAATCGAGTAGTTTGTTGCAATGACAACGAAATCTGTATTTCAGTATTTTGTAAGACGTGAAACTAATTTCTAATCACTTTAGATAGCATAATAACAATATATCAATGTTTTACAAGGATACACTAAATCTATGCCAAAAAAGAAAAAAACATAACAATATTGTCTCCCATCTCCTATATTATTTAAAGCTTCAATAATCCCTTTCTTGTTTCTCACACAACAACAAAAATCCAATATTTTATATATACATTGGAGTTTTTTCCCCTTAATTCATCAATAAGCAAAGATATGGGTATTATGTCTAAGAAATTACTTAAGGCTATAATTATATACATAGCTCTTATTATGGTGTTCTTCACTCTTGCAACACTCAAGACCAATGCAAATAATGTGATAAGTTACGAAGCTCTCCAAGAAGATCATGCATGGGGATGTAGTCCAAAGTATCCTCAATTTTGTGTGAAAGAAGTGGCCAATCCCTAGATTCAAGGATGGATGTGAGTTTGATCCCAAATGTGATGCTTTTTATGTTTTGTATATATATTGTCGTTTGAATCCGGATTTTTTTATTAAATTTTACGATTATATATGTTTCATCCGTAAAGTCAAGGTCATATTTATGTTTATGTTTCGTGAAAGTATTACCAAGTTCAAAGTTGTAATGTTTTATTTGATATTAAATACATTCATTATTTTTTTCTTATGTTAAGTTAGTTGAATCATGTTTTGTTTTTAAACATCAGTTTAAGCATGTTTGTTTATATACTAATGTGTTCGACGAAAAAATAAAGAGACTCACATTTCTAAACAAAATTCAGTTATATTATTTGAATGGATCATTATGGTAAATCAATTACAGTTTTTCATGAAAACTACCACATTCTTTTTGCTCCTTTAAATGCCATACCTCTATACAAGAATAATTGTAACTCACAGGTCTTCAACCATCACAAGATA